TGTTCTCCAATTTCAAACTTGTGTGGTTTTCATTTCCACACAATGATCATAATCTCCAATATGAAAACTATACTTTTTGTTAGTAATTTTCCAAAGTATTCTATATATAACTAAAGAACAGTAGTGAAATCTAATATACTAATATTACTTGGTAATTTCTAATTGGAGCTATTAGTGGCATGGCTTACTTGCAACATTAAATGTGATCACATGAAAAATTTAATAGTGCACCAATGTGTGTTGTTTCTATATCGGGGTGTCAAAATCCAGGCCTGGGGCCTGCCCTGGAAACAGTGAAGGACTGGCCCATGGTGCCTCTGTGAAAACAGAGCTGGGAGGGCGGCAGGTGGCCCTCCTGAGCTCTGATTTTGCTAGCAGAGGGTTGCAGGAGGCCGTCACAACCATAGCACTTGGGCCACCACAGGTTCCCCCAACATGAATGATGTTGAGATGGCCATGCCTCCCCCACCCCCTTAAAGTCAAACACAACCCTTATGCGGCCCTGAATGAAATCGAGTTTGACACCTCTGTTCTACATCCTCACCAAGGACATAGTATTCTGTAGTCAATTCACAATTGGACAATGTTGATGGGCCTTCTCTTTAGATTTCTTCTGTACGTGATCTTTGGCATGTTATCCTATTATCCTACCTACCACTATAACATAAACCAGTACAGTTTTTTTTCCTTCAGTTTGGAGGAGAAGTTTTGCTTGACTCTGCTCCCGTCCCTCTTGAGGTGTACCCAGTTGTTTCCAGAATATAATAAGTATCATAGGATTCAAAAAGAATGGTGTTAGGATGGCTCGAAACACACTATGACATCACAAAAAATGAAAATTTAGAAAGTTGTTAAAGTAATGCCTATTGTGAGGGTTGTCTGTTCAAGACCATCTAATTTTGTGTACATTAATCAGTTTATTTTAGAATGCTTGGAAGCACATATTGGTAAAGAAGTATGTAACTTCCAAGCAGTTTAAAAAAAAAAAATCCTACAGAGAGTGATAACAGGATGCCACTCTTGAAACTGCTTGTCCTTATGAAGTGTACTCACGAGGACACAACCTTGCTGAAATCCATATTAGAGATCTGTTATCTTGAAGATGTAGTTTATTTATTTTCCTCTAATGTCTCTAAAAGATCTTTTAAGTGAAAAGACTTAATTGGGTTAAACTGTGCTATAAACACAGGAGATTAAGGGCAAAATAATATGTTACAAAAGAAAATAAAGCAACCTTAGCCTATGATTGTTGAGTAATGTCAAGGGGATTGTCTGTGTGGATTTTTAGGTGAGAATTGGTAAGAGAAGGGAGATGCTGACCTTTTGCTTTTCTTTCAAGAAGGCTTATAATGCCTCTTCTCCTGGATGCAAAAGAAAGAAGACAACCAGCAGCCAAGTGGGTTTATCATCGGTAGAGCTGAAAGACCAGATTAGATCAGATCATGATGGAGAAAATCTATCTATGATGTCAATAAGAGCTGACAATCACAGATAAATCAATTGATCATTTTCTTTCCTAGCAATTTTGTCCTCCTCCCAATGGTCTCCAAACCAATTGATTCTCAGCAGAAATGGTAGAAATAAAGCACATTAGATCCCCTTAATCAAATATTTTTTTCACACATGTTGCATTAAAATTCAGCGGGTAACAGGTTTGTGGCTGGGAAGATGGGAGCCATAGATTGTTTGGAATGACAGAATTCAACCAAGAATTTGGACTCCATTTCAGAATTGAGATCATGGCACTTTTGCATTAAAATCACCCTTCTAAGAAGTGTTCTTCCTACAGGATTAGCAACTCTAAAACAGAGGAGGAAAAGGCAGTTTTTGCATTAACAACTTAAAAGGAAATTATCCTTTGGGAATATTGCAAATCAAATAGATAGAGATGCTACCTGTATATGCTAATACTGTACAGCTAGTTTAGCGCATTTTGTTCACAGTTCATTTAGTCACCATTCAAAGTTACAATGGCATTAAAAAAAATCACTTATGACCATTATCAACTGCAGTGATTCACTTGCAACCTTTCTTGCTGCCTTTGTTAAAATGGGGCAAAACTCACTCAACAAAGTCTCACTTCACAACAGAAATTTTGGACTGAATTGTGGTTGCAAGTCAAGGACCACAATATTTACTTACCTAAACTGATAAACAGACTACAGATAGGCAAGATAGCAGTCAGAGAGGGATCAGCATCTGACTTCCTGATGGCTTCCCCACTGACTTTGCTTGTGGGAAGTTAGCAGGGAATATGGAAATCATGTTCATGTGATTGCAAGGATGCTGCAACCTTTCATAAATTTGTAAATAAAACTATTCTGGACATCACAGAAATTTCAATTTTAATGGGTCCCAGCTTTTTATGCATTTTTAATTAGCAAATTTGAGGTACCTAGACTCAAAAATGGTTGCAGTATAATGCATTGTTTGGGCTAACCTGAGAGTACAAATACAAAAAAACAGATAAAATACAATATAAGTTTTAATAGCATATAGATAGCAGGTTTATATTGGAAGAAAAAAGAAAATATCATTGTAACATTGGTTTTACTACCAGAAAGGTGGGTGGGAGGTTTGGCTATGACATGAAGTTGTCAAACTGATAGTTATTGAGTAATTAAAAATCAGGCAGCAAAAAGCTTGATAATTATGACTACTTTGCACATATGTGTGCATTGCTGGGAAGACTGAGACACCTGAAAGAATAAGTAAATAGGTGAATGCTAGTGGGTTTTTAAAAATACAATTAACCAACTGGTGCCTGGTAGAAGAAAAAATAAAAAAAGAATTAATCTCAGCTGTGTCAGGGAAACAGGAAGACAGTTGTCCATGTGTTGTTCACACATAAACACACACTGACTTCACGACTCCAATGCAGCCTGTGAGGTTGTCTGATTTATGTGCTTTTTCAGAAATGGGCAAAGCAAGCAAGGATCTCAGCCCCACTTCTTACAGAAGAGACTGGGAACTTGCTTCCACTTTGCTGAGAAATCATGGTGGTTTTTTTTATGATTCTGCATCTCTACACTTTTGAAATAAGTGTGCAATTTTTTGTGTGTAAAAGGTGAAAATAGACATTATTTAATGGAAGTATGTTCTCTTCAAAAGAGTCGAATGGAGTAGAAAAACAGGCTTCTGCTCATTCCCTAGCAAAGGAAGTTAACTCCTGTCTTGCAGGCAACACTGGAAACTGGCTTGAGATGCCTACATAGCTAATGACAAAAAAATTATGCTCCATGACAAATCTTATAAAGTCATTCCACTGGAAATAATATTTAACTAATTATGCATCATCTTACAGCTATGTGTCTTCCTGAAGAAGCTTTAAAATTCAGTTGTTGGAAGAAAAATCCTTCTGGGTTCAATTCCAAGTGGGGAAAAAGACATTGGAAACACGGAGGCTGTTTGGAAGGTTTAATGGTGGACAGGACCACATGGCCTGGAGCTCCAGAGTGAAAAGGAAGGACGATCACATGCCTCAAGGTGAAGGAAGAGATCAAGAAAAGGGGCTGATATGCTGAGAATGCCTGGGTTTTATAACCTTTTTTGGGATTTGAACTGAAGCTTGTTTCTAATTGGTTGTCAGACTCCCATGGGGCCATGCAGGGGCAAGTCTGTAGGCTGTCCTGAATTCCAGGCTTGGTTGAGCCTTGCTGGATGATGATGCACTGAAAAGGGCTTTTGGCAATTGCTATAGCTTTACCTGGAGATCTTTGTTATGTATAGTATTCTGGCCCAGGCCTTAATGGCCCACCCATTAACAATGGTGGGGGTGAGTTTCTGCTTCTGAGTTTCTACTCTTTTAGGGGAAATATTCTGTCTTTTAATATTTCCTAGGATATTTCAATTTTCTAGGAGACGTGTGGGTGCTAACTTCCTACACAGGGATTATCATGTGTGTGGTTTTCAGAATACTGTGTTTACTTCCTTGTTTCTACATACGTTTTGCCAAATGTCCCTTTTTTCCTAGTTTCCAGAGACACCAGTCTTTTGCAGTGGATCCCTCCCCGTTTTATTACTACGTACATAGAAGTAATAAAGAAGAGTAGAGACCACTCTTCTCACAGAACTACAATTAATATACCCGAATAAATAGTGATCTATAACAAGTCTTGAGAGAATAAATGTGCTAATTTAATGCTTTCAGAGTCATCTGTTTTTTTTATTCCCAGCTCATCATTGAGTTGACAAGAACTCTCCTTTTTCAGAATGCTGTAGTTTTACAGAACTTCAAATGATACCAGGGCTCAATAATACCCCCCCCCTTCAAATGCTACCATATTTTCCAGGTTAGGTTGGGAGCAAAGCTACAGTTTGTACAAGATAATCAATGCAAGCATCAAATTACTACTTTGAAACAGAGTACAGGATTAAACAGGTGATTTATTATAATACAAAATGTACCAATAAATTTTATGAAGACCTGTAACCGCTGATCAAGATGAGCAGCCTCTTGAATGCAATGGACGTTCAATATCTGTTTATTAGAATATGTACGGTGGGTTAATATATTAAGAATTTTAATTTGGGTTAGGCATTTGTGCCATTCATATTTTACTGATTTCTTATTATTATTGTAGAATTTTTGTTTCTGGTGCTTTGGCATTTGATATAATGGTCGTTAAGGAGAGTGCTTTAGTTTGTTGTTTTTAAAAAATGTATCACACTTACAGAAATCATGCGGACCATTTTGGTTCATTATTAAAGCAACGGACAACGGGCCAACTTTTGAATGTTCCTTAATTGTTCATAGCCAGTCGGGATATTAAGAGAGAAAGAAAGTGAACGTTGAATAAGGATCCTTATTGTACTGCGTCTTGTTTATGTAAGCCCATTTCCCCACTCATGACTTCCAGCGCCTTCTCAGCGCCGTCATTAAATGTCCCCTCCTTCCCTCAACTTTGGCTCTTCCGAGGCCGGTCGCCGGCTGTCGAGAGTCCCCCGAACCCGGCCCTTTGCCTCTGTCCGTTCGCTCGACTGGCTGCCTTTCTGGGGAGGCTTTAGGGGGTGGCAGCCGGGCGGAGCCTGAATCTGAAGCGGAACATGGAGAGAAGTTGGGGCGGCAGTCGAATAGGGTGGGCGACGAGAGCCGGAGACTGGAATCGCCTGTCCTGACGCTCATATTCGCGAGGGTGAGTGAGCAGCTGCCTGAATGGAAGGAAGGTGGGTCCGAAAACGAAGAAAAAAAGGGTTGTGGTTGTTGAAGGCAGGACCTCGGTGGTATCTGCGGAAGAGAGAGTGCAAGAGTTGTTTTTGTATTTGTATTTTGTATTTGCTGGGTTCGAACATTTAGAGTACATTAGCCAACCACTTTCTAGCTAAGCGTGTTAAAGGAACTTCACCGCTTGTGGTTGGTTATCTGTAGTCTAGCATGTCGTGTGAACTTACAATACTGACTTGACTAAGTTGTGATTCCTTCAAACATCTTGTGTGAATGCACCAAAGGCTGTTTCCAACAGAAGTAGGAAGCCAAGCGAGAAGCCATATGTCCTGAATGTGTGGTGCCCTGCATCTTAAGTATGTATATTTATACGTGGAGGTCAGTGGGGAAACTGATACAATTTTCCAGTTTCACGTTTGTGTTTAGGTTAGTTTTATTGTGCTTTATCTTGTACTTTAGAACTGTTTGTTGAACATCCGGGAATGAAGGCGGAATTGAGTATAACATAGCCAATAAATACCTAAATAACGAAGTGGAGAAATAACTCACATTTAGGGACTGAATGTCTCCTGGGCACTCTGCAGATATGTTAGGCCAAAACTCCTAAGAGTTGGAGTTTAAGCACATCTGGAAGAGGCCAAGTTAGGGAAAGCTGCTGTAGAGGATATGAGATACAGTACTTACTGTAGGAAAAGGCTGTGTTGCAGAAGTCTGTGGTTCTGGAGAGAGACAGAGCTTGCAGTGCATACTCAACTTAGTGGAGTTGTTAGGGATTCAGAAAAAAAAACTGAAAGACTAGGCAGGATGAGATGTGAGGATGGACAGTGGCCAGAAAAGCAGGCAAATGGAAAAGCTAATATATATTGGGTCTGTGCGAGGGGATCTGAAAGGACAGGAATGAGCCTTGGGGCTCAAGGATCTGATTGATAATTGTCTGAATCTGATATTACTGCCACTTTAAGAAGGTTTGCCTGGCAGATGAAGAAGATATTTGGTGTTGTAGTAGAGCCTGCTCTTCCACATCTAAGGATTCCTCTAGCACAAGTTTTTCTGTGAAGCTTCTTTTGAATACATAGAGTTCTCTGCTTCTCCTGCAATCTTTCCTTTTCCTTTCAAAATATTTTTTTCCCCTGCCTCACAGCCACTTAAGAAAAAATTGGCTGTCTTGAAATCAAATACAGAGCAATACTTCTGATCAAATGAAAGTCTAGATTCCGCCCCCCTTGTGCTATAATACATCTATTTCTGCTTTTTTTTTTGCCAACATTTCTGGTTAGTCTTATGCTGTCTGAATTAGCACTAGGCCCCTGTTTAAGATATCTCTGTTTGGGGCACTCAGTCCATACTTTCTGGGTATCAGTTTTCAACCAAGGATGCAGTTAACAGTGAAAAATGTAATTGAGAATAAGTGGGATTTTTTTTTTTCATTTATTTGAGAGCAGAGTATGTAATTTGAAGTAGAGGTTTCTCATCTATAAAATGGAGTCAAACTGTTCATTATTATTTCTAGTTCTATACTTGTTTATTCAACAGTAATTTCTCCTAATTGGGCTTTATTTTATCCCAAATAAATACATATGGGACTACAACTTTAAAACAGAGTTTTATTGGTTGTATGTATGGTTTCTAAGCCCACTAAGTTCTACTCTGCTGGCTCAGGTGGGGTAGGGGCTCCATGGATTAGATGAAGGAAGAACATTAGAAGTACATGCTAAAAGTACACAATCCCGGCAGAGTCACCTTAGATGTGAAGGTCATCTCAACTGCCTGGCTAAAGCAGCCAGACACTTATATGAAAATGCTGGAGGCAGATAATCATTTTAGTGACAGCGGCAAAAGCATAATTTCATACTGTGCTGGAGAAGGCAATAATAAACTATTCCTGTGGTTTACAAAAAACAATGGGTAGCCAATATAACATGATTGATGGTATAGTGCTGGATGATAGCCCTTTAGATTGGATGGCACTGATAGGCTACTGAGAAAGATCAGGGAATATCGCAGAGTACTAATTATATTTATGACATAGTAAGATTAAAGCTTTTGGGAAGTATAGTTGCCATGCAGGAAAATAATCCAAAGTTGCAAAGACAGAGTTACAGTAGGTGATGGAACATAAGACCCATGAACATGGGAAAATTCAACACAGTTAAAGATAAAATGAACCATTCACTTGATATCTGAGGCATCACCAAACTGAAATTATCCAGAATTGGACATGTTCAGTCAGAAGAGTTATTATTTATTATTCAGGACATGAAAAACAAAGAAGGAATTGATTCATAATCAGGAAGAATACAGCAAGGACAATACTTGGTACACTGCACTCAATGACTAAGTAATATAAAATAGACACTATGGGCAACTCTGTGATGTGACACCTACCCAAGTTTATGAGCCAACAGATGATGCAGTAGGGAAGTTTTAGGAGATTTATGGTCAAATTCAGTCTGAAATGGATAGAATAGGCAAGCAAGATATGCTGTTTGTGGTTGGAAAATATAAAGGAAGAAAACATAGCAGGAGAAGATGATCAATTTTTTTCCACCTAAAGATTTCTTCATTGCTGACATAGTCTTCCAATAGCTAAAATGACTGTGCAATGCCCCATGAAATATATAGAAATCAAATTGACTATATTTTTGGCACAAAGAGAAAAGAGACCAGTTATGATAGCAAAGCCATAGGCAGGGACATACTGTGGAAGAGATAAATTGTTCATGTGCAAATTCCACACTGAGTTAAAGCAAAAGAAGAAAGCCAGCTAATTTGGATATGAACTTCAATCACCATCATTTTCAAGAAGATCAGGAATCATTCTGAACTCCTGGATTTCACTGATACAGAGGCAGAGAAACAATGTAATGAAATCAAACACATTGTTAAAGATATATGTACTGTAGAAGGAAACTGTCAAAAACTAAGAAACAAAGGAAACTGGATATTTGAACAATTGTCAAAAAGAGAAATCAAAGCCAAGAGAGACAGGGATTTCAGGAGGGAACAAAGAATTCCAAGGAGGAATTAGAAGAGTTAAGAAAAAGTACTAAAATTATATATGTAAAGACACTGAAGATAGGAACATACATGGAAAAACAAAAGGCCTCCAAAATATTTCTAAACTCAGGAGATTCCAACTTCAAATTGGTTTGTTGAAGGATGCCATAGGATGCCAGTTTGTAGTTATTTGAAAGAAGATGAAAGATAGATACTGACATTCTATGCAATTCAGAAGCTGATGCCCAACATTCTCTACTTGCAAGACTATACAGTGCTAGAAGATGAAGTTAGATCAACATTCCAGTCATTGCCAAATTGGGAGGCTACAGGAATTCATGGAATATAAAGAAATATGGGAAACAACAGAAAAAGAACCAGTAAGGATCCTAACCAAGCTCTGCCAGCAAACCTGGAGAATGGCACAGTGTTTCACAGATTGGAAGAGGTCAGTCCACATACCAATACCAAGGCTGTGCACGCTTTGCAGAGTGTACAAACTATCAAACAAAATCTTTCATTTCACATTCTAATAATGCTTAGGATCATTCAGTGTAGAATGAAGCCCTACATGGAAAGAGAGATGAGAGAGATACCTTATTTGAAAAGCTGAGGCATGCTGAACAGTTGAAAAAGGCAAAATCAGTGAGTGTTTCATTGATTATAGAAAGGCCTTTGACTATGTCTATCATGTCAACCTGTGAAAAATGGAAATAGCATAGCCTCCTGTTAAAGGTCATGTAAGGGAAGCTGATCAGGACAGAACACAGACTGCCTCAAGGTTGGCAAAGCAGTAAGACAAGGCTATATATTCTCTCCTTATTTATTTGGCTAATATATTGAATATACTGTATACTGTATTCAGTTATGCTGGATTGGAAAAAGATGAATGTGGTTTAAAATTAAAGGAAGAAACATTAATAACATGCAATGTGTTGATGACACCAGCTGAACTGCAAATGATTTGCAAAATTCTAGTAATGAAAGTCAATAAGTAAAAAAAGTTTAAATATAAAGAAGGCCAAATTAATAACAAGTAGAGAAATTGCCTGAGAGTTGATAGTGAAGATACTGAATTTGTGGACAGCTTTTGCCTTTTAGGGTTGACTGTCAATAGTAAAGAAACTGCAGTCAAAAACTATTCTGCAGTTGGTCTGAAGTTCTTGGTGACACATCACAGCATCTGATTCTTTCCTATCTACAAGGATCAGAAATGTGCAGGCAATTGTTTTTTTCCTATGATATTCTAGGGAAATACAAGTTGGAGTTTGAAAAAGCAGTACAGGAAAGGTATTGATGCTTTTAATATTTGTTGTGGGAGAAAACTCCTGAGAATAGCATGGATTGCCAAGATAATTAACAAATGGATCATCAAACAAATCAATCCAGAGTTGTCACTTGATGTACAAATAACCAGGCTCAAATGATCATAACATGAACATGTTATGCAAAGATCCGTCTCTCTGGAAAAAGTTCTAACGCTAGGAAAGATGGAAGGAAAGAAGATGACAACAAGATGAGGCAGCAATATGGATGAACTCAGTTATAATGGCAATGAATGCACCACTGGAAGACTTGAGCTGGGAACAGATTATTCTGGAGGAAATTTATTTATATGGTTGTTAAGAGTTTACATTGGCTTGATAGCACATAATGTGTTAATGGAAAAAAACTCCTCAGCATATTCTCATAAGGAATGAATGTGTTTACATTTGTTCTCTAGCTTTTGAAAAAAAAAGTTTACTTTTCCAGTTTACAACTAAAATGGCAAAATTCAAAGTACTTGAAAAAGTAATTTTTAAAATGGTATTTCTTGTGCCTAGATTTTTGGAAGTGAAGATAGTTGTATTTCTGTTTGTTTTTCCAAACCTGGCTCTATATATAACAAAAGTCTGAAAAAAAAAGAAATGGCCAAGATGGCATTTTTATTGGATACAGTCTTGTTAACAAATATACCATATGCAACATTTCAGAGGATTGTAATGTTTTTCTTCAGAGCTTGTAACTGAAACTGTTTAGAAGCCAGTGGCAGATTCTAGACTGACAGCAGCTGCTCAGTGATTTCCTCTGAGTATTTGGAGTATGATTGGATATTTCTGTAATATAATACTTAAGACTTGAAAGCCTGTAGGAATTTAAGGGTGGGAAAGAGGTAAGGGAATAGAAGCTCCTAAACTGTGTGTGATTCAGCTGAAGAGAGAATAAACTTGTGAGCTTTTTCTTGGCAAAAATCCAGGAGTTTTTCTGCATTTTGTGCTGTGTATAATCTCTTGTGCACAATTCTGTCTGTTAGGCCAGTGAATGCTGGCTGGGGAATTCTGGGAGTTGAAGTCCACATGTCTTCACATTGTTGAAAAGCTTTGTGCTAGGCCAGGGCTGTCAAGCTACCGGCCCATTGGCCAGATGTGTCACGTGCTGGTTATGCCCACGCCTGGTTTAGCAAAGGGGGAGAAAGCCCTGCTACATCACATGACACCACCGTGACGATGTGAGTTTGACATCCCTGTGCTAGGCTATCCTAAGTTGTGGGACTCATGGTCATGGATTTCAGTGGCCTTTATGTTCTACCTTGAAACTGCTGTAGAGAACCAGAAGTGAATTGCATGCAAACAGGGGAAGAACTTGTGAAGCTTGGATATACACAAACCTAGTTGTCTGCGTAAAAGAAATGTGAAGAAACAGGAATCTTCCCCTGGTGTTCTCTGATTAACTGCAGATGATGAATGTTTGGCTATGATTCTGACTAGAAGGGTTTTGTTTTGTTGAAGGGGGACTTGAAATGCCAGCGTGGAGGACAGCAAGAGAGTTCGCCTTGAAACTACAAGTAGTTTTAACTCTAGAAGAATGTGGCCTCTCTCCTTTTCCTGCAAGGACAAAAATCTTTGGTGGTTGTCCATTAAGGTCAAATTGATTCTGTTTTGTACATCTTCCCTGCCTGCCTGCTTGCCAAGCATGTGGTATGAGATGCAAAATGTAGTAGTGATGATAGAACTCAATTTTCTAGGCACAATTTGGATCTTAATGTTGCCTAGAGGGAAGGAGTCTCAGATATGTTTCAGAAGAGAAAACACATTCCATTAGGCTGCTCTTAAAATTAATTGCTTGTGCTTTTAACTTGGGTGCCCAAACTAGCTTTCCGGGTAGAAGATTCTACAGTGGAGCAGCCAGATTTAGAGTGCACGTAATTATAGAGTGGAAGAATGTTAAGATTGATAGCAGAGAGAGAAAAATCTTATACCAATAACTAAAAATTATTTTGGTATCTAAATTGCACTGGTAGAAAGAAGGAAAGGTTGATGAATTTTGAGCAGGAGTTATTTATATTTTGCTTATTATGATGCTACTTAGCTTTCATTTGGCAACTGGATAGGGAATGTAGAGCAATATAGAATTGATAGCTTATTACAAAATCCTGCTAAGATGACACTTTAGGTTTATCACAGGATCCACAGGCAAAAGAGTTGCATTGATGTTTTGCTGGAGCTTCTAAGTTTTTTTTTTCTTGCTGTTTTAGGAGAAAGTCAGAAACAGGGTGCATAGTTCACTTTCAAGAACTAAGACAAAAAAGAGATTTCTGAGTAAAGATTACAAGATTGTATTCACTGGATTTCTGAACATGGGATTTGTGTTCCAGGTTGAATGGAATTATTTTGATGATTCTGTCCTTGATTTGATTAGTTTAAAACAGCTCTCTCGTTTGGCTGAAAGGGTAAGTGTTTTGTTCCTCCTGTAGCTTAGGAACTCTTTACAATTAGTCCAAAGGACAGTAGATTTGATTGAGAGAAGAATGCAGATTTTTTTTTAAAAAAATGAAAACCCACATTTTGTAAAACAGGCTTCCTTCCCTCTTTTCTTCTGTATTTTTTTCCTCTTATCCTTCATATTCCTTGTACAGTATTTGTATTTGCTGAAAGGCAGATGGCTGACTTGGAGAGGGATCTGGGGGTGATTTCTGTTTGATGGTCTGTGGATAATTGTGTGTGTATGTAAAAAAGCCTCCTCCAAGCTATTGTTCAGCAAATGTATGGAATATTACAGCAGTCATCCCCAGAAAAAAAAGGGGGGAGGGGCTTATGGCCATGCTGGAATGGGAATAATGGGAGTTTTACTTCAGCAGCTTTCCACAGCACTGATTTGACAGAGGCTTCATTTAGGCAATCACTGGAAATATACTTGCAAACATCCTCCTTAAAAATGATGCGTTTAGCAACATGGAAAATGCTTCACCTCAGTGTTACATTTAGGACTAGCAATTTGCTAAATTAAAAACCCTCTGTCCTTATTATCTTTATGCTGCCTTATGTCATGAATCAGGTCATCTTTTTAAATGAGTGAACAGTATATCCTGTGCTTGCTTGCTATCTTACCAAAAACTTAAAGCCTTTTTTTCTTCTTCATTTTGCCCTCTGGCTGCCAAAATGGAGATTTTATACTGCCTGCTTAATTTTGTATGACACTTCTTTCCTTGCCACAAAACAAAGGAAAAAAAAACTGGGATAGTTGTTCTGATTATCCAAGGGAAGTGAATGATGGAGTTACAACAAGGCTTTCTCTGTGTGAAAGCCACCGAATGGCTGAGAAAAAGCACCCATCAAACCATATAACCTTCTATTCTGTTTCAAGGCAGTTGGCCGCTGTGACGAACTTCAGGGAAATTAATGTCAGGCTATTTTGAAGCTTTTTACATACTTTTTACAGCCTTGGGACTGTCTTTGCAGTCTCTTACTGCCTTGTGTAATAACACTATCGTTTACTCCACTTCTGCTTCTGTTACATGTCTCTAGTTCAACAAGAGTGATTCTTTGTTTGCACCTGTTGTGTTTTGAAATGTGACTTCAATATTTTTAATAGAAGAGAACATGTGTAGCTCAGGGTGCAGCTGTGGAATGCTTAGTGCTCTTTGAGCTTGTTTGTTTGCAGACGTTTCATTACCCAACTAGGTAACAACATCAATGTGGTAAGTGTGGCCTTTGCTTCCTGTTTATATACAACAGCTTGCCCTGCTAGTTTTGGTGTGGTATAGTTCTTTGCAAAATTCTTTTATAATTTTACCAACTTGTAATCTTTGATGTGAGGGAAGGGGACAGTTATGGGGACAAATGCTTTCTGGGAATCATTTAGATCCATTAGGTGTTTGTGCTGGATCATTCAAATTGGTTTCCCTAGCCTGTGGAAGTCATAAACAGCTGCCAATTATATTTGGATCAGACTGATCTGACCATACTAACAGGGTGATGGAAATCCCTTCTATCTCCAGCTCCTATAATATCAGCTCTGAGACAGAAATAAACTATGTATGACCATTTAATGTATTTCAGGCCCAAAATCACTTGAGGCAAACTGATCCCCATGAGGGTTAAAATCTCTCAGAAATCAACTCCACGAGCTTGGGGAGAGATCCTGCTAGACAGCAACGGTTCATCAGTCAGGATCGCAAGGCACTCAAATATTAGTATCAGGGACAAATTCCTGGATCACAGGAAAATGTTCCTCATGATCAAAGCCCCCTCCTTACCTCCTCAATATACAGAGCTTGGTGAAGGACCCAAAACACTGTTTTGAAGAATTGTAGGTAGTCCTCAATTTACAATCAGAGTTGGGATCAGAATTCTCATTGCTAAGACAGGCAGCTGTTAAATGAGTCCTGCCCAATTTTATGACCTTTTTTGCCACCATTGTTAAGCAAATCACTGCAATTGTTAAGTGAGACACATGATCATTAAGAGAATCTGGTTTCCTCCACTGGCTTGCTGTTTGGGGAAGTTACAAATAGTGATCACATTTCAGGGATCCTGAAAATGCATGCTAGTCTCCAAAAGCATTGAAATTTTGATCATGTGACTGTGGAGATGCTATGGCGGTTTTAAGTGTGGGGACTGGCTGTGAGTCATTTTTTTTTAAGTGTTATAACTTCAAAGGGGTTGCTAAATGATTGGTTGTAAGTTGGGGACTTCCTGTAGTGAAAAAGTAGAAGGGCCATAGCTCAAGAGCAGGGAGGAATTTGGCTGTAAACTATTCCAAGTTTAGTCTGGAGCATCTGCAGATAAGATTGAGAAACAAAAGAAAACAAAACTCCAAACACACTGTAGCCTCTGCAGTGCGTGATATCAACAGAACAATAATGTCACTTGGTATAAACCTCACGCTGTATATTAAAAGTTATTTGTGTTCTCTGCCAGCTATCTTTCAAAAAGAAAAAAAAGTAAATAAGTAAACTTCCAGAAGAGTGAGGGGAGGGATTGGGAGGAATGTCATGTAAAATGAGGCAATTGGATGTATTTTGTTGAGCCAGTTTGGTGTAATAGTTAAGGCACCAGGCTAGAAATTGGGAGATTGTGAGTTTGATCCCATCTTGGGCACAAAGCCTGTCACATTCTGCTAGCCCTAGGAAGGAGGCAATGGCAAACTACTTCTGAAAGATTTTGCCAAGAAAACTGCAAGGACTTGTCCAGGCAGTCTCTGGGAATCAATCAGCATGACTGAACGGAAGAAAAAAAAATGGCAAAATGGGATTTTGCTCTTCTTATATTGAAACTTCCTGTTTACTTTAGAGCACATTAGCATCAGACCTGTGAATGAAAATAGATCTAGTTTCACATACTTTGTAATTCCTCCTGTAGGCAACTCAGTAGAAAATTGATTCAAATATGTATACTAAGATACTTTGTTTTATTTTTTATACCATTTTGTTTTGTTTTTACAAATAAGTTAAGGTAGTAAATATACCTAATATTTCCTCTTCCTATTTTTCCTTATAACAACCACCCTGTGAGGTTGATTTGGGCTAAAAGAGAGAGAGTAACATGCCCAAAGTCATCAAGTTTCCAAGAGTCTATATAGAAAAGAATAAACATTGATTAATTGGGACTATCCTTATATCAGGGTAGGCTTGTATATGAACAACAGACATGTAGTACATTGGTATATTTTTTTTCTATTCCACAGCTACACATGCAGTATTTTAATTTTGTCTTCCTATTTTGAATATGAAGCCTTAGTACTATAGTGTTATTGTTTCATGGGTTTGCAGAAAGTACTATATTGGTCTCTCACTTGGTATGAAATTATATTTTGTCAGGGGGTGGGGGAATTATATCTCAATAGAATCCCTGAAAGCAAGAAGAAGTGGTCACAGCTCCTAAGGAAAATGCTGTTTTTGTGGGATGCACAGATAGCACAGTACAAAGATAACTGAACTAAAAAGAGCGTGTCATTTTAGTTCAGGAAATAGCAGGAGAAAGAAGAACTGCTCTGCAGGACTGGTGACCCTGATAGGCCTAACAGCATGGTGTGCTTGCTTCCAGGTGGTTGGCCAGAGTTTCGGCATGGCTGATTTGAGTGCAGAAATAGGAAGAACCATCTGTATGGTAAGCCAAGGCCGAACTCCTTTTCATGTCCCGGAACAATTCCTCCACTCCTTCTTAAATGGATCTAGGTCAGCCTGTTTCTGCTGCTTTTGTTGGAATTTCCTTGCTTTAAAGTGGTTCAGTGGTTAGTCAATGTGCCCTGCCATTCTCAGCAATAGATCACTGGAGCTTGTGTCTTAGGTTACTGTGCCTGGGGAAAATTGTCTGTAACTAATAGTTACCTTATGTGGGGGAGGGTATCGGGGTTTTGGATGTAAGGGCCTTTTCCTTCAAAAATCCCAGTTTTGCTCAAAGGGATACAAGAAGCCTAGACTTGCTGGCTGTCATTTGTGATACATTTTGGCATTCGATATTATGCTGCCTTAATCTGCCCTAAAAGATTTTAAGAGTCACTTAAACTTTTGTTAGTTAATGTGAGTAGTCACATTTTTAAGAACTCAATTTTAGTAGACACATAACTGCTTCTTTCTAAGTCTTTCAATTTATTTTTTAACTTCTTGGTAAGGTAAGGAAGAAACTGCTAGTTTACAGTGTGATGAATCCTCCATGAACTTGTAGTAAAGCCTTCCAAATTTGTGGTTAGCAATTTGCAGTGCTATATTTAAAAACTGCATGTGTTGGAAACCATAGCTAGACTCCACTCCATCTCATCCTGCTTTTCCACTGCTGATTTCACAATCTTGATATATTTAAATTAGATAGATCTGATGTCTGTAACAATGGCACTTAACTTGACAAAATATGAAGAATGAGAACAGAGTAGAGTGCAATCAGTAGCTTCTATCCAAAATAGGTAACATATTTGATGGCAGAGATAGCAATGAACAAAACAAGCCAGAGGTTGGAGGCACATGGTGGTAAACAATCAGAGTTCATTTCTGAAATGTGTGTGGCAAGGCAAAAAGTAACATTCATTTAAAATTACTAGCTTCTGAGCATGAAAACTGTATTGTTGGGGTCAGTCTGTAGATAACACTTTTTAAAAACCAATAGGACCTTGACAGATCTGTACCTTTATCTGCATTGCAATGGGGCTGCAAGGTTTACTTTAGATATAGCCCTAATCCTGTCAATGTGGCAAGGATTATGTGACAAAAGAGAATTGGTAATCCACCAATCAGCTATCTCTCCTCCACCATAAGATAATTTTTTCATTTTTTTCTGATCTCCAGTGCAGAAATTGCTTTACAAATATCTGATTAGATATACCCACTTTTGTGCATGTAGGACAAGCTATGCAGATTTATGTATGCAAAAGAAAAAAAAATGGGGGGGAGACAAAGGAAAGAGTGAGAGGCAGTGAGAGAAAGACAATTGATTTCAAATTTAAATATTTTCGTTTGCTGACCACTCTTTTTGCCAGCTACCTATTTGGAATTTTGAACCGGGTAGTGCTTATGTTCATAAAATAGCTGCCATAGTGGGCATGGCCAGTCATGAAACATTCGTATTTCAAAAGCAATGTAGCAGGCTCAAATTTTGGCAATGCCTCTGTGTGGTATTATGGCTCATGAATTAATTAGGGCATCCGTCGGAACCCTGACAGCTATTTTGGTGCTCTGTTTGGTAATATGCTTAGATATCCATTTTGAAGATTGTCTAGTACTAAAGTATATACACAGAGGTACGTTGCTGTGAGTGCCACATTGCTCTCCTTCTATTAAAATTAAGCAGGACAGAATTGGGTTTTTCCTGAATTTCATCTTACGTTATTTATTGGAATACAATTGATGGTGCCTAGGTTTTTTATCCAGAAAGTTAAAGATTTGTCAATGCATCATAACCAGATTTATTCTGAAAACTTACAAGTGTCCACTTGAATGATGTTGGTTCCCATGCTATATGGGTAGTTTTGAGACTGAACTGAATAATGGAATCCTGGGCTTCTAGTCATTTTGGGAAAAATCTCTTTAGAAAATAAATTGTTCAGATATGTAATGAAACTGTCACAAATAAGTTTCAGGAAACGTTCAGTACTGTAGTTATTTGATGCTGTTGCCTTTGTAAAGGAAGTGCTTAAAATGGCTTCCTTTGGCTTGGAATTTTTGTTTTTGATGTCCTGCTCCTGCTCCTAGTTATCTGCTTACATTGTCTCAAGTCTTTAGCTAAAAGGAACCTTGTGGCATTGTACTTATACATATAACACTGTGGACAATGTTGCTACTTTCCCCTTTAAATGAAGTTTGTTTTCCTCTGAGTCTGTAGCTGTTTTAATGCAAGCCCAAACGTGCACGTGGTCTGTATAAAACTCCAGACAGAGCCAGACAAGACCGAACTCTTTCATCTGCTGGGCAGGAACAGGCTCAACTGCTTTCCTGGGCTCTGATTAGAGGGTCCAGTCACGTAAGTTTGCTTACTTTGTGGCCTGTTTCTGCACTCTTTTTTTAAACTGCTTTTGTGGAGCAAGAATGAGATGGTGCATTTTTTCCTACTTCTCTTTGGTGATCCAGCAGCTTTTGGATCTTTGCAGCCCATATAGGGGAGAGAACAAACATTCTTTTCCTGAGTGGTAGAAAACTAGATTTATGAAAGCCGAGAAACATTTCCATCTAAGCGAGGGCGAGATTTGGATTCCTTAGTGATTCCTTGATCACCAGAGAATCTAGTGGCAGGCACCATGCCTTCTGATTGGTCACTAACAGCAGCAGATCTTTTGGCTGCTTCCTGGAAAGATTCATGCAAAGATTAATATGGTTCCATTGTAATTGGATGATTGATTGCAAAAAAGCCTGCAGGATGACAAAGTTTATTGTGGAATTTTGTGAAAGACAAAATCTGATGAAAGCTATGGAATGGTAACTGTACTAACATCTCATTGAAGTGGGGTCTTGTGACATCACTGAACACAGGTTGCAGGTTAATTATTGAACAATTCCAGACAGAGCTAAAAATTCACTGCTAGAAAGCTTAGAGTCAGTACTCGTCAATGTTGATAGTATTAAAGTTTGTATTTGACTAAATATGAAGCAGTTTCCTTTGCTTTCTATTACCATGCCACATTCCTCTTGAAAATGGATGGATTACTGGAAGGACACATCCCCTGGGAATCATTTGTGCTCCTTATTTTATATGTTAGCCTCCGAGTTAAAGCTGTTGTGGCAAAACCAACACATCTTGCTGAGGTTTCTCTATCATTCATTTCAATCAAATATCAGAAATTGAGCTATTTATTTAAAAAATTGTAAGTATTTGAATAGAGCATAAAAATCATGGAACTATATGTAAGGAAATAAATAATATGCCAGACTCTTTCATTTAAAATGCCATCTGGCCAAGGTGGGAGCTTTCCGGTGTATTTTACTTTGACCGAATAATGGGGTGTCAAGATATAAGGAGAAGTGAGAAGTAAACACAGAGCATGTGATTTTTCTCATGGAAGAAGGTTAGATCCAAATCTAATGAGCATAGCTCATTTCTGTAATGTAAAGCCTAGCACAATTTCTGTAATGTACTGAGAACGGGCAGTTATCTATTTTCTTGGGGTGGGGTGTTCATTTTGCCTGGTTGTAAGTTCAAAGACATATTCTTCTGCCATGCTTGTATCTGTCTGGAGTTTTCTCATTTGTAGGAAATAATGAGATTGACTTGCTCCCTGTTCCTCATTTTTTTTTTTGAGACATAGATTATATAATCTACTCTGTTTAGGACTGCTTGAAATTCCTATGGACATTTCAACTATTGCAAAATGCTACATTCAGAAATGGAGAAAATAAATGCCAGAGGGACACTGGTTCAAATATTCTGCAGTGGGAAAGGGATCTTTGCAGCGGAAAAGAAATATGGATGGGCATGGAGAAAAAAAGAAAGCGGGTGGGTAGGGAAACCAGAAAGAAAATAGAACAACTCCAGGGAGAATAATTTTGCATCTTCTATGAAAAAGTATGCAGGTGGAATTTTACAAGAGGAAGAATGAAAAATGATGCTTGATGGAATAATGAAATGAAAGAGGCTGTGGATTAGGGAAAAGTGCAAATGTCAGAATGCTTGCTGCATATTTATTTTGAGACTCTCATACTAAATTAAGAATTACATAAGCAATGATATAACTCCATCCAAATGATAATGTAATGGTTAGATCAGGAAACAGAAGTAGGGAAGGTTACTCTACTACTTAATGAATAGATGAACTAGCTTGGCTTTCCTTACAAAATCAAATACAGATCAAGTAATTAAGATGTGATATAAACATACAGTATATATATGTTTGTATCCTTAAGAGTTCAGTATTCATGTAGTCTTGCTAAATTTTGTTGCTTCCAGTTAAAATTTGACAACTCCATTTCAGAGGAACAACATTCTCTTTGTCTTTTGTATTTCATCATGTATGCTTTCAGTTTATATTTTGATCACATTTTAGGTTATGTTACTCAGTTGCTCATTTTAAGTGTTAAATCCAATTTGGTGAAATTGGTATCTTTATGCTAATTTTTCAGTTGAGCAAGAGTTGAATGCAAAGTAAGCAATATTTTTTACATACTTTGGAGTGAGCCTTTCTGGTCATAATTGGTTTCCTCCTACCTTCAAGGCAATCATATATTTCCATATGTTGCATAATCCTTGAAGAGATCAACAGCCCCCACCTAGAATTATTATCTTTCTCTGGCTTAACATCTAAGATGTAGAAGCTATGTCTGGGTTTTATTAGCTCAGCTGGCAGGTAGATGCTCATTTATTTAAAACTTCATAAAAAGAAAAAAGAAATTCCTCAGTGTCAAAATCCAATATGGCAAAGAAAAAGCTTAACTAGATAGTCTATAAATAAGGAAAAATGCTTTTACTGAATGTGTGTGTGTCTGTGTGCGTGCGTGCATGCTTGCACTTAGGAACATCTAACTGCCAATGTGGTGGTCTAAAAAGTGCAAACCAGGCCCAGTGGGCTGTCTCTTCAGAAGACAAGTCTTATTTCCTAGCAGTATTCTTTTCCCCTGCTAAGTGGAATTATTAATAGTAAACCAGGCATGCTTTGCAAGGCTTCATGCTGCAAGAAAAAAATGAAGAATATTCCAAGTATTAAAAGCATCCAGGATGTTGAAATCAACAACAGACATGAAAGGGATTCCCTCCAATG